TAATGTGGCACAAAAATGTTCGGTAAACAACTCTGCGATACTTTTAGGGTCGTCATACACTTGATTGTTCTTAATAAATATGCTCCCTCCTTTCACTTTGGAGCATTTGAGTTTATTCCGAAGGAGTTTTATGAGTTCAGAGGATTGATTGTTCAGCTGAACAGCACTCTTTTCCTGTGCGATTGCCTTTTTAGTACGTGTTATTTCTGCCTCGACACATATTTCAGTCATCGTTACTAATGAGGAGAAGTCATTACAGTTATGAAATCTGGAAGCATGTCTTCGAAGACGTTTTCATATATGACCTGGCATAAATAAGTCCTTAGAAATTCTGGGTCTCCAGGATTCTAAAGGTGCGAATTTGTTGAATATGCTATTTGTGTTGTGATAAAATACATTTATTAGTTCATCAGTATTGTTTGCAGTAAAGTAGTTTGTCCAGTTAATGCTTCTGAGGCAGATACTGAAGTTTGACCAATCAGTCCTACGAAAGTCCCTACGAAGTGTGGTGGATTTATACTTTATAGTTGTAGTTCCTATATCAAGGCTGCATATGACCATATTATGATCGCTACCTGGGAACGTTTTTCCAACATAAACAGTATGAGGAATGAGATTGCTGGTGAAAACCAAATCCAATGTATTTTGATTTCTGGTTGGGCCATTAACATGTTGAGTCCACTCTCCAAGCTCTAAGCATTCAATAAATGATTCGAATCGTTTAGGTGCTTTGATTGGGAACCAAGTGATTTCAGGCATGTTGAAGTCCCCACAAATAGCCTTGCTTGTGAACGGTAGGGATGAAACAAATGTGAATACTTCTGACAATAATGCTAGATCTCCTGTTGGTACATTTGGCTGTCGGTAGACACAGCCGAACAGTAAGGAAACGGCATTTGACGGTTTCAGAACGATCCACACAGAGTCTGGCAATCTATTTAGTTCAGATATATCACATAAGAGCGAGTTTAGGCTAGATTGGGCATATATAAGGCATCCTCCACCTCTTCCTTGTAACCTATCACTTCGAAACAGATCATAGTTTTCAAGAAATATAGTAAGATCAGAAATATTACTACAGGTCCATGCCTCAGTTATCATAATAAGTGTTGGTTGGCAGATAGTAGCAAACATGACTAGATCTGTCTTTTTATTACAGATTGAACGAGCATTAATAAGACATATATTAAACAGATGTCCCGCTAAGCTAAAATAGTTTAGGGTTTCTTGAGTAAAGGAGTTACTATGACCTACGTGAGTGTGGTATGAGGAGTTAGGGGGGACATGTTAAGTAAGTTACTGAAATTTACAGGAGGGGTTGTTAGCCCGGGGGAAATGGGGAGAATGTTGTCTGTTTGAGATTGTGCGAGGAGAGTGTTTTTATGTTCTGTATGTGGTATGAAATGACTTGAGCTATATGTCGCGCAAGAGGTACCACAAGTGGCTGTATCCCGGAAAAATTTTGATTCGGCTGGCATTGCGGTTCACCACTGTTTCTAGTAGTGTCTTGATGACACAGCTCGTTACTAAGGCTAAATTTATATGGGAATGGTTTTAACTTGGGGAGGGTTAGCCATATACGAGTGCCAGTTGCTATGGCCTTTTCTAAATTTGGGGGTCATGTTTACCAGCTGGCTTGGTAGAGCAGGATGCATAGAGTTTTCATTCTCAGCGTTTTTGCGAATAAAAGCCCGGGTCTTTAGGATAGGGTGAGGGGTGAAAAATCTTCCATTTCCACTTTCACTAATAGTTCTAGGATTAGGTGGTTGGGCAGTGCACCTAGCTCTTGGATAATAATTATTTGTGCGCATGATTAGATGTTGGTCTGACATGTTCTTAATATTATCAGTCTTACAACTTGGAGAGGCTAGGGGCACATCATATGACATTAAAGGAGTGAACCTGTTCATCGTAGTTGGAAAAGTCGGTGGGAATCGGGTTTGAATCCTACCTATTTTTTTTGGTGGCTTTGATAATTTTCCGAAATTTAGCCGCAAACAGCAGAATGGGTTTGACAATTGTAGTGAAAATCCTGATTTTGACGTTGGTTGACATTTGTTTGGATTTCTAAATGTTCTTCATTTGTAGGAATGCTGTCCTTGATTTGCCGTTCCTCTCAATCACAATTACATCAGATCCACCTTGATTGTCAAAGATTTTGCCCTGACATTTCTTTCGAGGGTGATTTGGTTGACTCATGTTGTGTTGCATCGTAAAATCTTGCCTTCCCCTTTGTGCATGTTGAGACCTACTGCCTTTGAGGCCGCTGCTATACTGGTCTTCTTTACTTGCATTCACAGTAGCGTGTGGAATAGAAGAGCCAGATTATCTTCGAAGTCTAGATCGCCCAGCTGCGTCATTGTTGTTCACTATATACCATGCTTCGCTCCAGGTGTTGACGTCTTCATAATCAAGTCGACCACTAGGAGATAGAGAAATGGTGGTAGTAAGCAACCTCGCCTGACACCGGTCTTCACCTCGAACGAGTCAGTCAGCTGACCTCCGTGCACGATTTTGCAGTTAAATCCATCGAAAGGATTCCGTATGATGTTGACTATCTTCTCAGGCACTCTGTAGTGTCGAACAAACGTCCACAGTGTTTTCCTGTAGTAGTCGATGAAGTTGATGTAGAGTTATGTGTTCCATGAAATGGATTGTTTCACAATGATCCGTAATGTTGCGATTTGGTCAGTACACGGTCGATCCTTACGATTCAAGAGATACGTTGGGTGCTCTACCCACTTACTCCTCTGTTATCAATATTGGCTGCTGCTTTGCCTTTCTTGGTTTACGATAGTTTTTAGCTAGCTTCTGTTTTGTATCGCACGATTGCTTCTTGTTTCCTTCTCTTGCAGGCTTTCCCGCCATCATTGCTTGATTTTCCATATATTTACATCTGTTGGCTCTGCTGCTCCCCTTCACTTTCTTGTTTGCTTCTGTCTATTGTGCTTGTGCCTTAACTTTCTCTGATCTCGTTCAGCTGATGTTGATTACTTCCATGTTGTTCCTCCTTTCTTGAATTATATATAGAGTACCACTATAGATCAATTCCTTGTGATGGCGCTTCATATGGCACATAACCTCCTAACATAGTGAAATGATTGCCTCCTTGGTCCATTTCCAATTATTGTGCATCGTAGTTTCCTTTCCATTGATTAGAAAAACTAATTCAAAATAATTCAAATAATCCAAAGCACTTGAATATATAGTTGTATAAAAGAATGAGGTCCGGGTAGAACGATTGAAAGTCAAAACGCTCAAATTTCTGCTAATCAATACAAGTGGGCTTAGCTTAATGACGGCTGTATTAATTCCCGACGTAATCCTTGTCGTAGAGAAATGGCTCGCTGTAGGAGTTGGTTGGTCCACATTAGTGCAGGATACATTTGTAATAGAAGTGACGGGTTCATAAATCTCAAAGGAGAAGACGTATTTTTTATGTTTGAGATCACAACAGTGTACATTTGAGCAATTTGGAAGTGACCGATATTGGTACATGTGAAGTTACTTGTTGTATCATGAAGTCTACATATGGGTTGGTGGCCAAACGGGGGATGTATCTTGGTTCATGTTGTCTTGTCGATGACTGTATCCCAAGTTATATTTACACATGGTGTAGGGTTGGTTGACGCCTGATGATGCAGATTCCAGCACGCCACATGTCAAGTGAATAGAGCTATAAAATTCAGGTGGGCGTCTCGTCATCAATCTGTTTTCATCTAGCATTCAGTGTGCATTTATGCAATCATGAAACCGATGCATATACACTTGGAACATGAACAATCACTACTGGACCTTGTTTTTAAGCGCCTCAGTGATTATGACATTGACATCTAATAGTTATCCCTACCATTAAACAGTGACTAAGTGGTATTTTAGATTTCAGTACGTACAATAATTTTGTTCCATCACGTCCCGATATCTGGTGGGCTAATATCTGTGGAATAGGAGACAATGGTATGGCAAAACACACCAATGTAGTCACTTGATTTCTGTCGCACAAAAATTCATAATAATTAACTGAGTCAGATTTAGCCAAGGCTGGGACTTTATGCAACATTTTTGGTGGGGCCTTCTCTATAATAATTGCTAACAACACCTCTTATAAGCAGACCACCTGGATATTAATTATATGTATGTATTTGTGATTGAAGAGACTGTTCTTTGATTGCTCAGTAACCTCAACCCCGGTTAGACACCGGGTGCTGACGAGTTGTACCATTGATTATCGCTGTTTGTCAAAGATATTATTTTGGAACTATTCATGAAGCTGTTCACTATGTACTTCACTCAGGCTCTACTTTCTACGGTTTGGAGGGATGCTCTAATTAGTAGGTCAAGAAATAGATCGTGTCCAACTAACAACCTCCAAGTGTAACCAGCATAGTAATTACGTTACTTGAAAAAGGGCCACGCTAATGTATATCGAACCCGGCACTATCGACGGTATATCACTACCACGTATGTAGCAACAAAAAGATTTAGGAGTAATAGTTAGTCATGACTTGCAGACAGTATCACAATGTAGTGCAGCAGTCGCCAAAGGTTTTCAGGTGTTTCTAGATTCTTTTAAGATGAGCGCTTTAAACGCCTGAGGCTTTTCTCCTTATCTTACCGTAGAACATATTATGATCTTGTTTTGGCGCTCCGTATCTTGAATAATGATGTAGGTGTTAATTTGTCATATCTTTTTGCTCCCTCTTGAACTAGTCATCTTCATGTCAGCTGTATGAAGGTTCAGAAACGGCAGCTGCATAAAGTAAGACTGGAACTCCGTTTTTCATATCGAGTGGCAAGCCCTTCTCAAACAGATGTTTAACACTCACTCAACTTAATGCCGAAACAGAAAATATTTCCTATATCTTACTACAGGTTATAAGGTTATCTGATGTTAACCTATCATATATTAAACAGTGATTTTGCACCAATATGAGTCAACTGACTGTCGATACTTACCAGTGCAAAAGAAGTTGTGTAGACTAGAATTGGAGATTGTCGCGCAAAATTCATCATTTGCGCTACTGCTCTTGCACAGCCTGCAATTGTGATATATGAAAAGTAAAAGACCAGATAGAGACTTTTACCATCATCCACGGTACAGATTAGCCGCTGAAGACCATGGAGATTCCCGTAATGTCAGAGTTACCCGAACTGTTCCTGTAGCTGCAGAACCACCTAGCTACCATAGAGATGGGATTAATTCATTGCTTGAACACCATCCCTCACAAAAATCTTTTAGTAATGAGACGAAAAACGGTCGCCGTCTCCAGGATCGTGAAAACACGAATAAACTAAGATCTGATAATCACTCTTCTGCGTCGGGTTTAGTTCCGAGACCTGCAGACGCCAACACAAAACCACTTATTACTGCACCACCCCAGTTTAACAGTTCAAGATCTGTAACTAGTAATAAGCAGTATTCTTCCAAACCAAGGCAGGAATCTTTTGCCCCAAATGATGATGTACAGAATTCACGTTCACTCAGAAATACCACTGTAAATTCGACACCAGAAAATTCTACGGAAAAACATGGCGGACTTATCCTTTTACCAAAAGATGTGGACATATTTCAACAGAATACTCAAAGCTCCAGGAATCCTCGGCGTGAACCAGTTCGTTGTAAGTCATATACTCTCTCAATATGTTGTAAATTGTTTTATTCGATAACAAATTGTCTTTGTTAAAATGTTTCTCGTCCCAACAAACAAAAATCTATACAAACTAAATAAACAGAATCTCCTGTCTTTTTTTATCTAGTCAACTGAAACGCTTGCCACTTTAGTGTGTAACTTACCGTCTATCTATCACTGCTTTCATACCTGTTGTGGATGGTTAACATACTAGACCCCCCTTCATACTTTTACCACGTCAAAGAACGCCCAGTACACCATTGCACTATGAAACATGCAGCAGTATATGTACCACTAAAGTGCAACTCTGTGTACTAGTACTTTTATAGATAGTTTGGTGATGCATGTTTATTCGTTATTTTAGTAAGAGTACTTGCTAAGCAGTAGTTTAGACGGTTCAGGACTTAGTGCTTTTGTTTTTCATTCTTATTATGTACAACATGGTTATAATTAGATATCGAAATCTTTGATCGTTAGACGTATTTGGCTTTCAGACTAGACAAAGGTTCTGTTTTATCAGGTTTTAAATTATCCTTGCTTTCGTACTTTTTTTGCCTGTTACCCCAAATGAAGTGTAGGCTGCTGACCAGTATTCTCCAACCTACTCTATCCCTTTCCATTTCTAAATTATCCACTTCTATTTTCCAAGAGTTATATAAGCTGGTAGTTTAGAAACGTTGCATCAATCTGTAGTCTTTAACTGTTAGATTTAATCGTACTAGTAGTTACAGACCACCTGATTCAGTTCATGCTCATTCATCGCGACCAGTGACTTGAGACGTTGGGTAACATGCCTCGGGACTGCTGCTTATCATCAGCTTTTTTAAGCGTCAGTGTATTACTGTTATCGATTCCTTATTAGTACAGTTAGTGATCCCATTTGTTTCCATAGTTTTTGTAGTTTTAACTTGCTTTTAAGCAATTTGGAAAATATAGATACCTAATGCTTTTTATTGTTTCATTTAATTATTATCGAAACTCCCTCAATCAGCTGATTCGTCCAAACCAGTTGTTGTTGTCCGTCCGAGCTTCTCTAATCCATACATTCATCCTAAAACTACCAGCACCAGATTAGATTCACAAGGAGTTGACGAGTCAAAATGTACCAGTCAATGTAAACAGAGATCAGACAATGATATGAGTTCACACAATTTTGCCAACGATACATCTTCCGAATCATCTGCTACTGCTGTTTTACCGGTCCCATGGACTGATGCTGCAAAAGCTGCATTCTATCAGTTTTTCAAAACTCAAACAAAATTCAATCCATCTTCACCTCTTCAAACTGAAAGACAATCGTCAATACACCATGTCGGTAATCAACCTAATTGTTTGTCTCCAGGATCAACAGTTGTACAGCCTCCAAAGTAAGCCAAACCGTTGTAGATACACATATGTAAGAATGATAATGTTCTGTGTTATTAGGCCTTCATTAAAACATATTCAAACTTAATGACTTCGTCCTTTTCCGCTGTTGATTAGTTAAGTGCACATTTTGTGCCATCATTTACACGAAGAAGTGTAAAATTCACCACAAAAAGGAAAAAAGTCATGATTATATTGAGACGGAGTTATACTCAAACATATCTTTATCTTATATATTCATGTAACTTCGTGCACCATAATTTACTGTTACCCGTAAGTCAATCTTTTCTGTCTTCATTGAATTTGAGAAGCCAAGTGTTGAGTTCATACATTTTCCATCTTTTCTGGCAATTTGTAGTGTTCTAATTTTTAAATATGGCTTACAGAATCAACAATAAGCTTACACT